CAGTTTTCTTTGTTCTCCAAAAAAACGGGGAAACGAGAACACCCATTAAAAAGTAACAATAAGATTAGATCCGTTTACAGGTGACTTTGTAATAATAAAAGATAACATCATAGAGTTGTTTAGACGATCTACAGGCTTAATATAAATATGAATACATATTTATCAAAAATTGACAAGAGGTCCTGAGTACCTCCTTAGTACTTTCACCTCTTTAGGGGTTTCTCAGGTGGGAATCCTAAGAAATGTTTCTGGTAGATAAGGGATAGGTAAGTATATATTATTTGATCTACATATAGGCAAAGAGGAAATAACCACAGCGCAGAAAAAGAAATTAGTCGAATTTTCAGGGCGATGCGACACTTTATCAAGACAGAAACATGGACAATAACATATCAACAAAAATACATAAACAAAAAACACAGTAGTCACTTATATGAAATATGCGGTTGTAATTGCATATTCTCACGGTTAGCTTGTAACCGAAGGCTAATTATTGTAAAATAATCATCTTGAATACGAATCAATTTATCAATTTATCAATTTATGTGATCTATATTTATATTCATGTAATCTTTTTAAGACGTCGCATTATGTGTACTTTGTTTATGACGTCATTATGTTTGACGTCTTAAGTATGTGTACTCCATTTATGACGTCACAAATAAATTTAAATCGCCTGAAGAGCCCTTAAATGGGCGAAAGCGCTAGCCGATTATACCAGTCTTCGTGTTTTGCTTTATTTCTTAAGTTCTATGTGTGCAAGTCCAACTATAATTACAAACAATCAAATAAACGCAATTAAGTCGATGCGATCCTTTGTCTGGAAGACTTCTTTGCAATTACGAATGTTGTGCACTTTAGAATCGCGGGTCGTTATGATTATATATTGTACCAGGATTTATAAACTATCCTTTATATCCGTTTAAAAAGACATTATGTGGTGTAGAACATTAACAAATTTCAGTAGTTAAGCTGAGGGATACCAATAAGTTTAATTATGTTAATACTATTGTCACGTATGTGATTTATTTGTAAAATCCTTTTCAAAAACTACACCATAAAAAAATGTTGCAATACACTGTACATAATTACAGTTGTTGGGAATTTTAAAATTTGACAAAAGAAATTTTAAAAAAAAGTTAAAGAAAGAACAATAAGTTAGGTTGAACTCTGAACCTTTACACTACAAAGCCCTCACATTACCGATGTCGCTATTCAGGAATCAGAAAAGCACAGCATCTAATATTTGCCTCAAATCCATGAAAAACCTTACGGTTGAAGTTGCTTTAAGCCAGAAATCTCCTTTTGGTGGTGTTTGTTTAGGGGAATATACTTGATGTAGCGTAAGCCTTTACTTTAAAAACGAACTAATTTCACAAGTACAATACAGTTTCCATGCTCCTTGAGACATTTAAGTTATAAGGACACATGCGCTGATAAACCGTTCACTAAACCAGCCTAAACAAAGATGGAGTAGTACTAGTATAATTAAACCGTTCACTAAACCAGACTAAACAAAGATGGAGTAGTACTAGCATATTTAAACCCTTCACTAAAGCAGACTAAACAAAGATGGAGTAGTACTAGTATAAATAAACCGTTCACTAAACCAGCCTAAACAAAGATCGAGTAGTACTAGTATAAATAAACCCTTCATTAAACCAGCCTAAACAAAGATCGAGTAGTACTAGTATAATTAAACCCTTCACTAAGCCAGATTAAACAAAGATGGAGTAGTACTAGTATAATTAAACCCTTCACTAAACCAGCCTAAACAAAGATGGAGTGGTACTAGTATAAATTAACCCTTCACTAAACCAGCCTAAACAAAGATGGAGTAGTACTAGTACAATTAAACCCTTCACTAAACCAGACTAAACAAAGATGGAGTACTACTAGCATAATTAAACCGTTCACTGAACCATCCTAAACAAAGATGCAGTAGTACTAGTATAATTAAACCCTTCACTAACCCAGCCTAAACAAAGATGGAGTAGTACTAGAATAATTAAACCCTTCACTAAACCAGCCTAAACAAAGATCGAGTAGTACTAGTATAATTAAACCCTTCACTAAACCAGCCTAAAAAAAGATCGAGTAGTACTAGTGTAATAAAACCGTTCACTAAACCAGACTAAACAAAGATGGAGAAGTACTAGTATAATTAAATCCTACACTAAACCAGACTAAACAAAGATGGACTAGTACTCGTATAATTAACCCCTTCACTAAACCAGACTAAGCAAAGATGGAGTACTACTAGCATAATTTAACCGTTCACTAAACTATCCTAAACAAAGATGAAGTAGTAATAGTAAAAATAATCCCTTGACAAAACCAGACTAAACACAGATGGAGTACTACTAGCATAATTAAATCCTACACTAAACCAGACTTAACAAAGATGGAGTACTACTAGCATAATTTAACCGTTCACTAAACTATCCTAAACAAAGATGAAGTAGTAATAGTAAAAATAATCCCTTGACAAAACCAGACTAAACACAGATGGAGTACTACTAGCATAATTTAACCGTTCACTAAACTATCCTAAACAAAGATGCACTAGTCCTAGTATAAATAATCCCTTGACAAAACCAGACTAAACACAGATGGAGTACTACTAGCATAATTTAACCGTTCACTAAACCAGACTACACAAAGATGGAGTACTACTAGCATAATTAAATCCTACACTAAACCAGACTTAACAAAGATGGAGTAGTTCTCGTATAATTAAACCGTTCACTACACAATCCTAAACAAAGATTCAGTAGTACTATTATAAATAATCCCTTGACTAAACCATACTAAACAAAGATGCATTAGTACTAGTATAAATATTCCCTTTACTAAACCAGACTAAAAAAAGATGGAGTAGTACTCATATAATTAAACCCTTCCCTAAACCAGACTAAATAAAGATGGAGTAGTACTAGTATATTTAAACCCTTCACGAAACCAGACTAAACAAAAATGGAGTACTACTAGCATAATTTAACCGTTCACTAAACCAGCCTAAAAAAAGATCGTGTAGTACTATTATAAATAAACCCTTCATTAAACCAGCCTAAACAAAGATGGACTAGTACTCGTATAATTAAACCGTTCACTAAGCCAGACTAAACAAAGATTGAGTACTACTAGCATAATTAAACCGTCCACTAAACCAGACTACACAAAGATGGAGTACTACTAGCATAATTAAATCCTACACTAAACCAGACTAAATAAAGATGGAGTAGTACTAGCATAATTAAAACGTTCACTAAACCAGACTACACAAAGATGGAGTACTACTAGCATAATTAAAACGTTCACTAAACCATCCTAAACAAAGATGCATTAGTACTAGTATAAATATTCCCTTTACTAAACCAGACTAAACAAAGATGGAGTAGTACTAGTATAATTAAATCCTACACTAAACCAGACTAAACAAAGATGGAGCAGTACTAGCATAATTAAACCGTTCACTAAACCAGACTAAACAAAGATGGAGTACTACTAGCATAATTAAACCGTTCACTAAACCATCCTAAACAAAGATGCAGTAGTACTAGTATAAATAATCCCTTGACTAAACCAGACTAAACAAAGATGGAGTAGTACTCGTATAATTAAACCCTTCACTAAACCAGCCTAAACAAAGATGGAGTAGTACTAGTATATTTAAACCCTTCACGAAACCAGACTAAACAAAGATGGAGTAGTACTAGTACAATGCGGTTAGGGAAATCTCCAACCGACGTGGTATTCCCAAGTTGCAAAACACGAGGGTTGCTGTTAAGTTAAGAAATCGTTCCCCGAGGGTTGTGATCCACTGTCGTATCCCCAGGAGTGAGATGGGGTATCTTACCCCGTTGACCATGTCCTATTTATAATGCGACATACAATTGCTATGATTGGGGAATTCCAGTGTCTCAGCATCAACAATTGCTATTGGACATTTTGAACAGCTGTTATCATATTCTGATAGATTCGGAATTGTTATCAACGGGGTGGACACATTATAGAGGCGGTAAATAATCTCCAGGAGATCGGATAAAATAAACTTCCGATACAATACCAAGACCGATTGGTCTTACTGGCATTCAGGACAAACTCTGCAATTGAGAGGATAGCTGTGGTGTATCTATGTATGTATGTCTCACAGACGTCTGATAGAGGATATCTGTGGTGTGTCTATGTTTGTATGTCTCAGAGATGTCTGACAGATGATAGTTGTAGTGTATGTATGTATGTATGTATGTCTCACAGAGGTCTGACAGAGGATCGCTGTGGTGTATCTATGTATGTATGTGCCACTGACGTCTGATAGAGGATAGTTGTGGTGTATCTATATATGTATGTCTCACAGAGGTCTGATAGAGGATAGTTGTGGTGTATCTATCTATGTATGTCTCACACAGAGGTCTGACAGAAGATATCTGTAGTGTATCTATGTATGTATGTCTCACAGAGGTCTGACAGAGGCTAGCTTCTATTTATGTGTAATGTATCGATGCCTGCAGAGGCAGACTAAATAATTCGTCGATGAATTTAATCAACCTGTTATAACAAGATAGAAATATTGAACTGCACATTTACGATGAAGGTTGTTAGTTGTTTATCTCGAATATGGTGATGAAAAATGAATTCCAATTGGCCTGTTGTGTCTTAAGAATGTTCAGCCTGGTACACTATTAGCCTCTCCTACTGACTGTGCTACATACATGTAGTGAGAAGTTCTCTTTCACTCATTCAGTTTACAGTCTATGTAATATACCAGGGGTCCAAAGATCGCTTCGTCGTATTACTAGCATAACAGGAAGATAATGTCACTGCATGGCCCTTCTGGTGCTACAGTTATACATAAATATACAATCACAAGTAACTAAAAACGGAAAATAGCAAAATTCCGAGAAATGAGTGAACTCTGTACAGTCATGACAAGGCATGTATATATAAGGACCGAATATCCGTTCAAATACTTGGAAAGAAACATTCACTGTCAAAACAAGCCACGCTGTCCGATATGTCCCAGTCTGTGGCAGAACAGCGACAGAGCAATGACCTGCAGGGCTAGCTAGATATTTATTGTTCGGAGGACGTTAGAGCCATATGTTAAACACCTACGCTCCCTGGGTTCCCGCTAACAACACACTACCTCTATCCAAGCAATCCAGATTGTTCTTCAATTTTGATGCAGGTAAGCTCATTTCCTCTAATCTGGTATAGCTTCACAGTGCTTCCGTCTATATACTAACTCGATATCATTTAAAAAGGCTGCACAGTTTCTTAAAATTTTGTTAATTCCGGAAAAATTACGGGGCGTTTTTTTACCTCCCCACCTCGAAATTAGCCCTCTGTTGAGTATATACATGTGTATCCTTAATAATCTTAATATATGACTTTTAATTTAAAACGGTACACCACAACGTAGTCATTGTGGATATGAACTTGGGTAAATATCTTTGGTAAATATCTCCATCTACTTTCCCATCATACCTAGCAGCAGTGTACATTGATGAAGTCTCAAGTTAGTGCTATCATTACACTTTGAGGTGTTTCATGTTGTTACGGTTGGGAAATACTGTTATAATTAAGATATTTGAACATTAGCATTTAAAACTTAAGTTAATTCATCTCTTGATTTGGATTATAGCTGCGACTACTTTACTGAAAAATTGAGTATCATCCACATTCAATCTTTTAACGGTACAAATCGGCAATATGGTAAATGCAAAAAATACACGATTAAAAAAACAACAAATGGGAAATTTTATTTTCTTCTTCTGTTAAACGAGGAACTAATGGAGCGATGACTGTTCCTTTAAACAAGTTTACCATGCCCCCTGTTTAAGCCCAATAACTTTATCAAGAAATCTTAGATTTTTTTTTTAAATTGGATTGATGGCTTGTGGCTTTTAAAATCTGTACCTCACCTGGCATTGACTTCAAATATCTATATTATTCCCTAAGATTTAAATTTAAGCTGTAAGCACACACTTTAACTCAATAGTCCTGCCTACTCTGAAGCTAACACAATAACTATTTTCACAAATATGTTTGTGCCTAGATATGTACATATTAGTAATATTTTTAAAAGGCACAATTAACAATATCTTGCTTGATTTTTAAATGAGTCCAAGTTCACAACTGTTTATGTATCTTTCCTTATGAAATTGCCATGTATGAAATCCAAGGATCACCCATTCATAAAAGTTATTCTTCTCTGAAAAAATGATATTTTTAGAGGTGTATAAATAAGTCTTCTTAATGTCAAGCAGTTTCAAGATATAAAAAGCCTTGTTTTTATTTGTTTGGCTTTATTGACATGTACACAGTTCAATGTTAATGAGATTAAAACCATCTATAATAAACTTGAGTTTTGCAACTTCCCCCCACCATGTCATTTGAACACAACATTGTCAAAGTATTTGTTTTTTCGTTTCAGATTATTTCCCGAAGATCACCATGCTTGATTCCATGGAAAGTGAGCAGATGTCTGTACTTCTGTCAATATTCATGGACAGGTATGTAACAGGTACCACAGACGAGGTATACAACAGGAGGAGGGCAACTGTATTAGTGGATCGATAATTTAATCTTATCGTGGACCTTTTTTAAACTATAGGCGTTGGAAGTGATGGAGATGGAGGTGGTGTAGCGGACTCAGATTTAGATAGTATGATGATAGACACAAACGTAACAGTAATGTATCCTGGACAGTGTATTCCTCCAAATATGGCATGCAAAACTATTCTGTATATGAGGAAGGCAGACTGCCGCCCTGGTTATGTCAACTTACACCTAGGTCAGATAGGACAGGAAGGACAGCACAGTACAGAAATGATACGTAATTCACTCGTAAGAATTGCGAATTTAACCTTCGTTTCGAGTGATATCTACAGGGAGCATAATATCAGTTTCGTTAATAAAGCGACAGGTGTGAAACATGAATCCAATTGGCCAAGCTGTTCATTTAAGTCAAAAATAGACTGTGTTAGGTGCTTCTCGTGTAAAAGTTGGCCAAAGGAGGCTAAGGAATGGGTTACACGTACACGTCTGTATGGATGGCCACATAAAACCTTGATAAAGAAGATTGTAGACGGAGGTTGTTTTCTTGTGCCAATAGGAGACAAATGTTCTGAAGACACATTTTTGCAATGGCGACTATCATTTGCACCAGCAGAGACATCTTTAGTTACCTCATTTAGTCACATTCAATTTAAAGTGTATATGTTGCTGAAACTTTTCTTAAAAGTAATAAAAGAGACATTAAAGGAAACCATCGGGGATGACGATATCTTGTACTCCTATTTTTTGAAGACAACTCTTTTCCATGCAATTGAGAATTCCAACCAAATGTTCTGGCAAGACAAACACTTATTTTATTGTTTTTGGTTTTGCTTGAACATACTTATTGCTTGGGTGAGGGCAGGATTCTGTCCCAATTACTTCTTCCCAACCGACAACTTGTTCCAAAGGAAAGTACATGGACTATCTCAACAAATACTACTGGACTGTTTAAACAACTACTGTTTGATGAAATGGGAGTGTCTTTCATGTCTTTCATTTGGAAGGCCCTTCGACCTCTCAATTTGGAAGTTTCTGTGTAAAACCGTAAATCAAGATAAACTTGTATGCCCCCAAACTGTACAGGAAATTGCTTGTCGGCAAGATCAAGAAATAATTCACTCTACAGTGGGCAACCCACCACACCCTTTTAATCTAAGGGAAATGAAGGTAGCTATTCATTTACTATCTACATCACATTCAGATATTGATGAAGTTTTTACTTATATCCGTGCAATAAAATTCCTACTAGGATTCGCTACAGAGCAAGTGTATCCAGATCACATGGTCGCTACAGACAATAAGTTACGGTATAGGAGTTTAAGAAAATGTAAACGCCTGATGGCTCCAATAGCCTCAATGGGCACAGGGCTGTTGCATTTGGCAACCTTTTGTTTCCTGACTGGGGATGTTAGTAGAGCCCTGACGATGTGCCAACAAGTTATGAGACTAGCATCAACTTATACTACAAGCTGCCGTCAGATACCACATGCAATGTTTCTGCATGGGTATCGTCCACAAAGACAAACATTAGACAGGTTACGGAAAATGTACACCGCCTGTATTATATTTGAAGACATCAACGTTTGTCTGCCACATCTCTATATGGAATTGTCAAAATGGCCTAATGAAGAAATAATTATCCCACCACTACCGTATGCTGTGTTCCTGTATTTTCTGTGCTGTCATGAGCTCGGAGATACCAGAGGACGTGATAAAGCATTACGCCACCTGATAAAGGTTCAGTATGATGACAAACAAGGAGGAAATCGTTTCTATATAGTTCACACTATACTGGGGATCTGTTACCAAACTATCGGGGACAATCACCGGGCCATCAGGGCTTACTGGGAGTCGGCACAATCAAACAATGCGACTGCTTATTATGAGGGGAATCCGGCCATTAAGAGGATAACTGTGGTGTATTTATGTATGTATGCGTTACAAAGGTCTGATAGAGGATAGCTGTGGTGTATCTATGTATGTATGTCTGACAGAGGATAACTGTGGTGTATCTATGTATGTATGTCTCACAGAGGTCTGATAGAGAATCTATGTATGTATGTCTCAAAGAGGTCTGATAGAGGATGTCTCACAGAGGTCTGACTGAGAATAGCTGTGGTGTATCTATGTATGCATGTCTCACAGAGGTCTGATAGAGTATAGCTGTGGTGTAATTATGTATGTATGTCTCACAGAGGTCAGATAGAGGATCTATGTATGTATGTCTCACAGAGGTCTGACAGAGCTGTGGTGTATCTATGTATGTATGTCTCACAGAGGTCTGATAGAGAATCTATGTATGTATGTCTCACAGAGGTCTAATACAGGATCTATGTAGGTATGTCTCACAGAGGTCTGACAGAGCTGTGGTGTATCTATGTAGGTATGTCTCACAGAGGTCAGATAGAGGATCTATGTATGTATGTCTCACAGAGGTCTGACAGAGCTGTGGTGTATCTATGTATGTATGTCTGACAGAGGATAGCTGCAGAGCTCACAGAGGTCTGACAGAGGATCGGGTCTGACAGAGCTGTGGTGTATCTATGTATGTATGTCTGACAGAGGATAGCTGTGGTGTATCTATGTATGTATGTCTGACAGAGCTCACAGAGGTCTGACAGAGGATCGCTGTGGTGTATCTATGTATGTATGTCTCACAGAGGGCTGATAGAGGATCTATGTATGTATGTCTCACAGAGGTCAGATAGAGGATCTATGTATGTATGTCTCATAGAGGTCTGATAGAGAATCTATGTATGTATGTCTCACAGACGTCTGACAGAGCTGTGGTGTATCTATGTAGGTATGTCTCACAGAGGTCTGACAGAGCTGTGGTGTATCTATGTAGGTATGTCTCACAGAGGTCTGATAGAGGATCTATGTATGTATGTCTCACAGAGGTCCGATAGAGAATCTATGTATGTATGTCTCACAGAGGTCTGACAGAGGATAGCTGTGGTGTATCTATGTATGTATGTCTCACAGAGGTCTGATAGAGAATCTATGTATGTATGTCTCACAGAGGTCTGACAGAGCTGTGGTGTATCTATGTATGTATGTCTCACAGAGGTCTGATAGAGCTGTGGTGTATCTATGTATGTATGTCTAACAGAGGTCTGATAGAGGATCTATGTATGTATGGCTCACAGTGGCCTGATAGAGCTGTGGTGTATCTATGTATGTATGTCTCACAGAGGCCTGATAGAGGATCTATGTATGTATGTCTCACAGCGGTCTGATAGAGGAACTATGTATGTATGTCTCACCGAGGTCTGATAGAGAATCTATGTATGTATGTCTCACTGAGGTCTGATAGAGGATCTATGTATGTATGTCTCATAGAGGTCTGATAGAGAATCTATGTATGTATGTCTCACTGAGGTCTGATAGAGGATCTATGTATGTATGTCTCACAGAGGTCCGATAGAGAATCTATGTATGTATGTCTCACAGAGGTCCGATAGAGAATCTATGTATGTATGTCTCACAGAGGTCCGATAGAGAATCTATGTATGTATGTCTCACAGAGGTCTGACAGAGGATAGCTGTGGTGTATCTATGTATGTATGTATGTCTCACAGAGGTCTGATAGAGGATCTATGTATGTATGTCTCACAGAGGTCTGATAGAGCTGTGGTGTATCTATGTATGTATGTCTCACAGAGGTCTGACTGAGAATAGCTGTGGTGTATCTATGCATGTATATCTCACAGAGGTCTGATAGAGGATAGCTGTGGTGTATCTATGTATGTATGTATGTCTCACAGAGGTCTGACAGAGGATCTATGTATGTATGTCTCACAGAGGTCTGATAGAGGATAGCTGTGGAGTATCTATGTATGTATGTCTCACAGAGGTCTGACTGAGAATAGCTGTGGTGTATCTATGCATGTATATCTCACAGAGGTCTGATAGAGGATAGCTGTGGTGTATCTATGTATGTATGTCTCACAGAGGTCTCACAGAGGATATCTGTGGTGTATCGATGTATGTATGTCTCACAGAGGTCTGACAGAGGATAGCTGTGGTGTATCTATGTATGTATGTCTCACAGAGGTCTCACAGAGGATATCTGTGTTGTATCTATGTATGTATGTCTCACAGAGGTCTCACAGAGGATATATGTGGTGTATCTATGTATGTTGTCCTATACGTGTTCTGAGTCTTATATTGAAAAACCGAGGTAAAAGATCTAAATGTTGTGTAACTTTACAATGGGACTACAAAGACGTGACGTCACGAAATTGGGACGAATCTGATTCTTCGATGCAGATATTTGCGACGCCTTTATGTGTTATCTGAACTTAATTTGTGATTAAAATGCGATTAGAATAGGGAAATTCTACCTTTGAGATTTTCAAATTGTCGCAGAAATGTGGCTAGCCTCGGTTTTTACCCTATTTGAAAACTCCTATTTGGCATTTCCCTATCCCTAGGTATGAACGAGTCTTATATGTAATGACCTTAACCTGAACAAGGATATAAGACAATGCTATAGTTGGCGAAACCGTCATATTATATATTACTCCACTTGGTTATTATTAACCTCAGAAATATCTCCATATGTAATTTTGTTTGGGTTGAAAAACCCAAATTTTGCAGGCCTGTTTTCGGTTAAGATGAATAAAATATACTTCATGTACAATTGTTCTGAGTTTTCTTTCCTGTTTAATACATAGACTATACTTATTGTATACAGCGTATTCAACGACAGATGAAACCTGGTGTGTACCCGCTCAAGTGAGTTAATTATCAACCATGGTATACTATACAGAGCCTGCGTAGGGACATGGTAATGCATTTACCAAACCGTGCGCATGAATACCAATCTATATGCACGAATTACCAATCCGTGCTTACCAGTTACCAAACCATGCGCATGAGTTACAAATGTAGTTATCCGTGCGCACGAGTCACAAAACGGTGCGCACGAAGTAATAATCCGTGCGCACAAGTAACCAACTGTGCCCACGATTTACCAATTTATGCGCACGAGTTACCAAGCCGTGCGCACGAATTACCAATCAGCGAGCGCGAGTTAGTAATCCGTGCGTACGAGTTACTTATCCGTGTGTTCGAGTTCGTAAGCCTTTGCAGGTGTTCCTATTTCACATTGTGCATTGTAACTTGCGGCACGGATTGGCAGTTCGTGCACATACATTGGTAAGTGCGCACGGATTGGCATTGTGGGCACGGATTAGTTATTCGTGCGCACCGTTTAGTAATTCGTTAGCACGGATTACTAGTGCACACATATTGGTAACTCGTGCACTAGGTTTGGTAATTCGTGCGCTCCTATTAGTAACTCATGCGAACGGATTAGTAACTCGTGCACACGGATTCAAACCTCGTGCGCACGGATTAGAAAATGAATTACATTGCCCCTTCGCGGGCTCCGTAATTATACAATAAAGGAAATATGCTCAACTTAACAAATCTTTACTTAAGCTAGGCTATCACAAAAAAACCTGTACTTAAACTAGACTATCACAGATAATCTATGCTTAAACTAAGTCATAACAGATAATCTATACTTAAACTAGTCTATACCAGATAATCTATAATTATCCTGAAGGATTCACTTGCATATATTTTTCATGTTATGGATATATAACACAAAAAAACGGTGTGTACTCTAAATAAACCGCGAAGCGGTTTATGATGAAAGTACACTCCGTTTTTTTTGTGTTATAGCTCGATAACATGAAAAATATATTCAAGTTAATCCTTATGATTTAATCTACTATACACAATCCCTATTGAAATCCACTTTTATAGATGGACTCCTTAATCTTAGAAATTATTGCGCTGCAGTATCAGCCAATCAAAAGCGACGTTACAAACGGCGACGTCTTTTTTTACGTTATGGGCTGATAACATAATTTTTAAGCCAATGAAAATGCTTGTTACAAGTGAGATTAAATTATTAGGCATACTTAACAGATAATCTATACTTAAACTAGGCCATAACAGATAATCTATCCTTAATCTAGGCTATAACAGACAATATTTACTTAAAATACTTAACTAGGCTATAACAGATAAAATATACTTAAACTAGGCTATAACAGATAATCCATACTTAATCTAGGCTATAACAGATAATCCATACTTAAACTAGGCTATAACAGATAATCCATACTTATACTAGGCTATAACAGATAATCTATACTTTAACTATGCTATAACAGAAAATCTATACTTAAACTAGGCTATACCAGTTAATATGTACATAAACTAGACTATACCAGATAATATAAACTTAAACTAGGTTATACTAGATAATCTATACTTAAACTAGGCGATAACAGATGATATATACTTAAACTGGGCTAAAACAGATACTCTTTACTTAAACAAGGCTATAACAGATAATCTATGTGTACACTAGACTTTAACAGATAATCTATACTTAAACAAGGCTATAACAGATAATCTTTACTTAAACAAGGCTATAACAGATAATCTTTACTTAAACTAGGCTATACCAGATAAGATATGCGGCCGTGTTACACAAATTTCACTGTAAATAACAATTAATCATCCTTAATTTGATATGGATTAAAAGGTTATCAAGGGTCACCTGATACAATTAAGTATTTATGGATAACTCGACTTTCTGACAGAGTTGTCGGACCTGAAGTGGTCATTGAGTTTTTCAAATAGGATCATGCAATCATCACTCAGACCAACATTTTGAAGGGGGTGGGGTGTACATTTTGACCTCTGACCTGTTTTCTGTTTTATTTTGTTTTGTTTTTGGTTTGTTAAATATTTCAGAACTGATTACTTAAGTATATGATCAAATCAATATATTTTTGTTTGCCCTCTTCGTGGTATAAGAGATGTTTTCAGTGTGAAGTGATGGTCATACAAGAAACAGTGTAAGAGATGGCTCTGAAATAGACTTGTTCTTGACAGAGGTCAAACATATATAGGTTGCAAAGACCTTTGCCTTGATTTTTATATAGTACATTCATCCTTGTTCAGATAAATGACAGTTTACAAAAGTTCCGAAAGTAGTCGTTTTCCCTTCACTGATGTCGGAGGTAAAAATAAAGATCATGCTGTGATATATTTAGTATGTACATGTAACAACTCCTTATATATACCTTCATCCTAGATACATATGTAAGATATTCTTGAGAAATTAGTTTTAATATAGGTTAATCTAGAGAGGTCAAAGTTGAAATTCACGTCACGGCGAATAATTTTGGGTTGTCAGCACTCCATGTATACGCGAATCAAATTCGATAGTCCTACGACAGATATGATAGAGAATCCCTCCAAACAATGGTTCAGACGTGTTAGACTCAGACACTGATGAACGAAGGCAAAAGTCCCTCCTGGCAAATATACGTTTGATAAAACGTATATTAAGAATTGGAGTGATGAAACATATAGGACTGATGGAAAATGTATCACTTTTGGGAATGATGAGGTATTTTAAATATATGGGAGTGATAAGGTCTTTTACATATATGGGAGTGATAAGGTCTTTTACATATATGGGAGTGATAAGATCTTTTACATATATGGTAGTGATGAGGTATTTTAAATATATGGGAGTGATAAGGTATTTTACATATATGGGAGTGATGAGGTATTTTAAATATATGGGAGTGATGAGGTATTTTACATATATGGGAATGATAATTTCTTTTACATAAACGGGAGCGATGAGGTATTTTACATATATGGGAGTGATGAGGTATTTTACATATATGGGAGTGATGAGGTATTTTACATATATGGGAGTGATCATTTCTTTTACATATACGGGAGCGATGCGTTATTTAACATATATGGGTGTGAGGAGGTCTTTTACATATATGGGAGTGATGAAGTATTTTACATATATGGGAGTGATGAAGTATTTTACATACATAGTGTATATGTGAGTGATAAGGTCTTTTGCATATATGGGAGTGATAAGATCTTATACAGATATGGGAGTGATGAGGTATTTTACATATATGGGAGTGATGAGGTCTTTTACATATGTG